ACAAGCTTTGCACATCTAGAGACCATAGACTGTATATATTAACGGCCATAGTCACGCCTATCTCCGCCGTTCAAAATAATGGGCCAAAAATAGGGTCGGCACTAGATCATATACGGGATCAGGACGAAACCGGAAGTAACAATCCTACTTTCGAATAAGTCCTTAAATGGTGACTGGTTAAGTTTTAGGTGTCGGTAAGATGGTTAAGGTTGGGGTTAAGGCTGGGTTGGGGTTTTTTAATGGGAATGGCTGGTTAAGTTTAGGCATGAATAGGTATTTTAGTTATATTTACTTCCGCTTCCGTCCCGATTCTGTATATGATCTCGTGCTCACCCCAAAAATAGTGCTCTACTGGAGCTATCCAAAATGGCCGCGAGTGGTCCCGCCCACAAGAAAATTGTGAAAAAAGGCCCATTCATGTGAACGAGTGCCTTCAAAAATTCACAGCGACTAAACCAGACTGGTCCAAAAAAATTCACTCCCCTCAGCATTGACACACATGTGGAACGGAGCTATATTCGAGAGGTCAGCTAATGCTATATGTTATTGCAAGCATGTCAGCACACGTCATTTTGGCCACTTTTGAGCCGGGACCCGCCCCCACTGCTAGAATTTTTCATGCAAAATAACAAACTCTTTCAGATTACATGGAGAGCGTTTATGAACCGTAGCTTTCACAGATTTTCTCATGGATTTAAGTTTGGACTTTGACTCTGCCATTACCTACCTGGTACACTGAATCTTCTTCCACATGTTTAATGTATTGCTTGCTTTTACTTCTTGTGGCTTTATTTCAACATTGGTTTTCTATTAACCACTTTTTCTTAAAGGCCAGATTTGGGTAAAGTACGACTAATAGTGGCAGCTCCTTCTGATTCATGGAGCACATGGTTGCATTTCTGATTTCTCTCCTTGTTGATCGTGTTTTGGTAAGTTTGCAGCGGTGCCCTACTTTATCCATTTTGGAATAGATTGGACAGTGCTCTGTGCAATTTTCAAGGAATTTTTCTCACAGCACATCAATTGAACTTAAGTGAGCTCTATTCAGTTGTTAGGGAATGATAAGAGCATTTAGCAGTCATTAGTATTCTTAAGGCTATTAAATGCAGTCAGAGAAAATATTCAAAATCATGTATAATTTTGCTTTCATGTCACAGTTGCTACTATTATGGTCTTTCAGTAATTACATTCAAGCTATATTACTTTCACAACCCACAGTGATACATTTCACTGCCTTTACTATTGTTCTTTTTCAACATAAAATCAAAGCCCACTGGTTGCATGAGCATATGTAAAAGACTTTCATTTGATCCAGCGCAGCACTTGCATAGCTGTCTTCATTAAATCCGAAGACGCTGTACCTTTACGACACATATGACAACCAGGACAAAAAAGACGCATGGAATTAACTTCAATGTTTGCCGTTTTTACTGATCACTTCATTTACACAGCACACAATCCTGCGCTCGCTGGAGTCTGAAGTTAGTCTGAAGTTCTATTCCCAGCTATTAGCTTATCTCTTAACATCGGCTGTGTGTCTAAAAAGCCAATTTTCTCAATTCTAAAACCACTTTTTCTCTGTCATACCTGTAAAGATGTCGGTTAAAAACATGGCACCGTGTTCCAGCGGATGTGACAGGTGTGACAGAGCCAAATGTCCCCTCCCGACCTCGAACATGCCACTCACAGTCTGACGGAGCGTGACGATATGGGATAAGGGCCGAGACTCTGCAGAGGAGGCGCTGTTAAGAGGCGACTAATATTCCACAAATAAATCCAAATATAGCCTATCTGTTGATAGGTGGAGAAGTATGTAGTGTTTACTTGTAGGATTAATAATCATTCATTATTATCTTATTACTTTATATAACACAAATGTTATATAAAAGCCTGAAATGTCCCCCCTGTGAGACAGTTTAAGAATCTCTTCATCTTAATCTTTCTACACACAGCCCACAGGCTCTAATGACATTTCAATAACTGGCATTTCTTTTTATCATTATTATTTATTTATCATGTGCCATATACAGATACAAATATACTGTACCTGATCCATTGCTCCTTACTGAGCTAAACCACAAGAGCACAACGCCATGTCAAGTGAAGCTACAGTCATTACAAGCACAAACCCTTTACTCTGCTTTGGAAAGTGTTGTATTCATTATGAAGTAATTCAAGAATCACCAAACTCAAATCTGCTATGATGCATGTTTTCTGTAGATGGATGCATACATTTGGGAACATAACTAATTACAATAAAAATGTATATTGTTCGCAAACCTTGGGGTTGCGTTTAGATTAGCATTTCTTCATTAACAATTGTATTTAGTATGGTATGCTTTTAGTTGTATTGACACATCAAAACATGAGCCAGTCATTGGAGAGATGCTAGTGCAAGGCAGCGTGCCCATTTACACCTGTGGTCCCTGAGCTAGCTGCTGTTTAAAAAAGATGAATTCAGATATAGAAAATGTACCAATATTTCTGTCTCCAGCTCTGCTTACAGGAATGTGCTGAAGAATCACTGACGATATGAAACATAATTTATCCGTTATATTACTCCCTGCACAATCCCAAGAGAAATATGTGATTCACGACATTAGATAAACATAAATGAATATACCTTAGCAATGCTTTAGTAGCAGACAATATGTCAGAGACTATAAGAAGTACATAAAGACAGAATTTAAATGGCCCATGACAGAGGTGTGAAATGTCATCTATTATCACCTGTTCTGGCTGATGCAGAGATGAACACATGCTGAGGAGCCGCTCACTCCTTCGCCCTCCCAGTGCTCAAGTGTTAAGCAAAAGGCCAAGAACAACCTGCCAGTTTATGTGCTAAATATAGTCCCCTTCATATCTGATGACTTGAAAGACAAAGCAGTGACCCTAAAGTGCATCTGGAGGTCACCACTGTCCACTGTCAAGTAATCTATCTGCTCTATTAGGTTCTTTTGCTAACCATTTCATCCCAGAGGTCCCAGTTATTTACTTGCATATTTTTGTACATAAGTATTTTTTTTTCTGGTCTTTGAAAAAAATCAAAATCAAATCATATGTAAGTCTCTAGATACACAAAGCTTATAGACAGATACTTCATGGCTTGTTACTGTAATCGTAGCAAAAGGCACCTCCACAACATAATCAACTGAGAGGGGCTGAATACTTTTGCACACCACATTTTTTCCGGTTTATTTTCTATCTGTACTATCTGTACTATCTCGTGTTAACTTGAACAAATGGCACCGTAGCAAGATCTCTGCAGAGTGTGCCGTCTCCTCTGTCTGGTGCACACTAGGGTAGGCTTGCACAGTTTTTACAATGTGGTTTTACTGCAAATGGCAAGTAAATTAATTCTAGTATCTTGTAGTTGTAACTCTGAAATGCATGTTTACTCTGCATTTGTCGATGTTAAAGGTTTTGTATGTGTCAGACTTACGGTTGCAGCAAAGCAATTGGAAATGACAACACACACACAAAAAATCCTCTTTACAACTTTTACTGATGTGTTGTCACAATCAGAAAAGACCATCTCCTTTCAAATGTCAGTTCACAGCAGGCGGTGATGGATGAAAGATAGAACAGCATAAAGGCGGCCACAATGGAGAGAAGGACGACCACATGTTTGACCCTGTATTGAGTTGTTTTAATGCGCTGCTCTGACTTGATCAGCTAAAAAAAATATAGAGAATAAGCACATGCAAAATATTGTTGAATACCACCAACTTATGGACATTTATCAACACGCATGGACATTGGTCATCTGCCCCTTATGGACCCATACTTATGTGTTTTCTGTTTTATTCTTTGATAGATAGATTCTTTATTGATCTCCGTAGGAGAAATTCAGGTGTCCAGTAGCAGCAAAAACACAGATCCATCCACACAAATAAAGCAAATAAATTGATCATTATAAGAAGTTTGAACTGTTTGATTCTCTGATCTGTGCTGGTGAATTCAACTGTGTGAAGTCCACAAGATAACTACTGTTGTGATTTAGAGATTTACAAGAATAAATTGAATTGAAATGAAATCAAACAAGGCCAGTTCCTCAGAATGTTTTGAGTTACAATTTTCTCCTTAATACTGAATGTGAATTAAACAATCTAACTCTTTACTTTAATGGCATAAAGTAACACTATAAGGACATACTTTGCGAGAAGTATTCTGTTTATTCTGTCAGAGTTAAAGGTACAGTATATAGGAGGATTTTCCCAAATTTTAGGAAAGAACCGCCCTTTACACTTACTCGAAACTCTCTGGTCTTGTTTGACGAGCACGTATAATAAGATAAGATGAATGACAATTAGGACAACCAATAGTCTTGATGATCCACCCAGTTGTAGAAAATCCTCCTGCATACCCTTAATTAAATGAATAGTTAAGGCTGGGGTCCCTTAGCCTGGCTCTGCCAGACCCTTGTAGTTCCGCCATGCTCCACCAGAGGCGTTTGGCTGAACCACATGGGTCTGGTATCGACGCCATAGCGAACGCCTTCCCCAGATCTTTGGAATGCTCTTACCTGAGTGAGTGAAAGATGGCGGCAGGCAGACTCGGCGCACTGGCAGCACTCTTAGTATATAGTCTCATTTTAACGTTTTTAAATATTGGCCCTTGTCAAAACCCTGAACTGACTGGGTCTAACAAAGATTACCCATTGCACCAAAATGTATTCTTTGACGACAGTGTAAAACCTACTAAACACTTTGGATTCGGGAGCAACGTATTGCTGGACACTATCATTCACACATCCTGGACTATTGCAAAACAACGGAGAACTATAACAACAAAAAACCAACGAAGCGACAGAATTATCATCGTTCTTTGTCTGCTACTCGCCGGAGACATTCACCAATGCCCTGGACCCATCTCAACAAAAGTCACCAATAATGCACAGGTAAACGCGGACTACCCGACTGCTACTCTTACCGGTGGTGGCGGCGGTGGCGTTGTTCGGCCTGTGGTGTCGAGTGGACCGACGACGGCATTCGAGTTGCATGTTGTGGGTCCTGGCTCACTGGAGGATCTCCACGTCCACTCCACATTGCGGGAGTCGCGGAGGCCCGGTGATGTCGTTGGCTCTGGCGAGATCACCAGTCGACAAGCTGTACAGTATGCGAAGCGCACTGGTCCGATACAGCAAGAGCGTCCGACTAGACATCCATGCATCAACGATCGTTCCGAGTGCAAAGATGAACGCGTCTCGAGGGCAAGAACAAAAGCGGCTACCTTAAATCCTGCCATTAAAAAACTCAAAAAGATGCCCAATTTACAGACAGTTAATAGTGCCCGTGTCCTCTGGGATCCTTTGGCTAAACCCAGGGGCCTACTGGGAGGCCATTTAAATATTCGCAGCATTACCCCTAAAAGTGACCAGGTCAAACATCTTCTCCTAGAATCTAATGTGGACTTTCTATGTCTGTCCGAAACATGGCTCCACAATTACTCTCCATCTGCTGCACTGACTGTACCTGGCTATACAATCTTCAGGAAGGACAGAACAGAGGGAAAAGGGGGAGGCCTTCTGGTCTATGTGCGCAATACTATTCAATGTCATCTGATTCAGTGGTCCCCTGATCTGGACCTTGAATGCATAGGACTTAAAGTTGAATTGTCTCCACAAATGTCATTCACCCTTATAGGAATCTATCGGCCACCAAAATCTCCTAAAAACATTTTTTATGAACAGCTAGATTTAATGCTTAAACAATGTAATTTTAATAAAGAAGTCCTCTTGATGGGTGATTTTAACATTAATTATGAAGACAAAATCATGAGAAAAACCCTTAAGACTATAACAACAAAGTATGACCTGGTACAGCTTGTTAAGGGTCCAACAAGGTTAACTTCTACCACAAAGTCCCAAATTGATTTGCTGTTTACCAATAAACCAGATAGGATTATAAAATCTTTTAACATGATCACTGGGTTATCGGACCACAACCTAACACTTGTGTCTAGAAAATTACCAAGAAGAAGATATAATCAAAGTGAAACCAAAAGTGGATATTTTAAAATCCCCAAAACTGAGCTTCATAATTTCAATGCTAAAATGAATGAAATCAACTGGGGTGAACTGGTGTTAGGAACTGCTGTGGAAACTGACTGTCACACGTTCATCTCTACAATCAAATCAATATTAAATCAGTTTAAAAAAGAAACAAAACAAAGACGTTTAAAAAACAACACAATTATCCCATGGATAAACGAAAACATAGTAAAATTGATGAAAGAGAGAGATTTGGTCTTAAAAGCAGCGTTAAAATCTAAAGAAATGCATGAAAAGCGCAGGTATACGACCCTCAGAAATAAAGTAATAAAAGAACTAAGAAATGCCAAAGCATCCTTTTTTATAACTAAAATCCAGGAAGGGAATGGAAACTGTAAAATGATTTGGGACAAGCTAAAAAAGCTGACAGGAAAATATCACAAAATTGCAGACAGTAAATTGCAATTACAGATAAACGGCTGTTTAACAGAAGATCCATCACAAGTTGCGTCTGCTTTTAATGTGCATTTTGTTCACTCGGTTACTTTGTTAACACACAAACCTCCTGTTAACTCTTTACAAGAAGTACCCTTAAATTTAACTGACCCGGTGTTTTGTCTCAATGAAGTCACACAACCAAAGGTGGACAAAATAATAAGTACGCTTAAAGACTCCAGATCAAAGGACGCTTATGGGATGGACTCTATACTGCTGAAGACTCACAGAGAGACTCTGTCTGGCCCTATCACCAAAATAATAAATGCGTCCTTTAGACAGGCTATGTGCCCAAGTGACTGGAAGCCAGCCATCGTCACTCCGGTCTTCAAGTCAGGAAAAACAAATGAGGTCACAAACTACAGACCTATCAGCATTCTTCCTGTGGTGTCAAAGATTGCTGAGAGGTGCGTCGCAGACCAGCTATTGGCCCATCTTAATAACTCACCTGATGCTGTTCATTGGATAAAATCGTACTTGGATCACAGAACACAAGCTGTTAGGGTCAAAAATGAATTGTCTTGTAACCTTGTCAATGGTATAGGTGTACCCCAGGGTTCAATACTGGGGCCACTTTTATTCAGTCTCTACATAAACGACCTGCCATCTGTGTGTTCTGATTGCGAGATACAAATGTACGCAGATGATACTGTGATCTATGTCCATGGGAAGGACAAGGAGGAAGTAGCTAAAAAGCTTTCGAAAACTATTGAGTTTGTTTCCCAATGGCTGTACAATTCGTGTCTACATCTAAATCTTAAAAAGACGGAGTGTATATTTTTTACAAAGAGAAAGTCTGACTTACCAGATCCTGAACTATACATTGCAGGAGAGAAGATTAGTGTGGTAACAGAGTATAAATATCTGGGAATCATCTTAGATTCACAATTTACGTTTAAAAAGCAGGTCAAAAAAGTCATTCGGACCGTTAAACTAAATCTCGCAAATTTTAGGTACATCAGACAGAGTTTGAATACAGATGCTGCAAAATTATTTTTTTATACTATGATAATGCCACATCTGTCCTACTCTGTCACCAGCTGGTCTCAGGGCTGTAAGACGACGCTGAAACCAATCGATTCTGTCTATAAGCAGGCTCTGAAAGTTTTGGACAAGAAACCTTTTCGTCATCACCACTGCAGTATATTGGACAAATATAACCTGCTGAATTGGGAAAACTTTGTAAAATTTCATGATGCTAATCTGGTTTTTAAAATTTTACGTGGTTTGGCTCCTCCACCACTTTTTAATTTTATAAATCTGAGCAGGCGACAAACTAGATCTGCCACCTCAAATAACCTGTTAGTCCCCCTTAGGAAAAGTGCCTTCAGTCAGTCGGCCTTTTCAGTGAGAGCAGTCCAGTTCTGGAACACTGTCCCCTCTCACATACGCAATGTCGATACATTAAGGTCCTTTAAAAATAAGTTAAAATCTTGGTTACTTGAGAATCAAACTTGTGCACATCAATGTTGATGTATTTTATTTTTTCTGCTTTTGTGCTAATGCCTGCTGCCGTTGTAATTCTGTTGTGTGTAATTGTCTATGGTGTAGTGTTTGTACCGAATTTTAACATTTAACAGGTTGTGTGGGAGCTCATACTAATGAATTGTTTTATCATTTTTAGGTTAATAATGATTGTTGTTGTTATTGTTATATATTGTTGGCAATCTACATCTTGCCCAGGGACTACAGTTGAAAATTAGCTTTGGAGCTAAAACTGGCACATTTACAGTGATGTTAATTAATGTGCATTGTCCCTGTTTAAATAAACTAATAATAAGAAAAAAAAAAAAAAAAAAATCTTATTCAGCAATTAAAATATGAGCAATTTCACTATAACAACAAAAATAGTAAACTGTTAGCAAATCTTCTACAACACAAAAGAGAGAAAGCAATCATTACATCAATTCAAGATGATTACGGCACTATAACACATGATCCACAAGAAATAAACAATATTTTCCAACAATATTACAATAAGTTATATTAATGCGACAACACACCTGACACATCCGCAATAAATAATTTTCGATCTAATATTAACCTACCATCACTTAAATCACAACAAGCAATGTATTAGAAACACCATTCACCTTAAACGAAATGCATAAAGCCTTAAGCAAAATGCCAAACAATAAGTCACCAGGACCAGACGGATTCCCAGCAGAATATTATAAACACTTCTGGGACATTCTATCTCCACTCTTAATGAGAGTCATATCAGAAATTAAAACAACCTCCAAAAAAATCACCTCACATGAACACAGCAGTTATCACACTTATTCCAAAATAAAATAAAGACCTAACAGACCTCTCCAGTTATTGCCCACTGTCATTAATCAACACAGACCTCAAACTCAAAACCAAAACACTCGCCACAAGACACAAAACAGGCACGCATCAGACCATCTCAGAAAACCTTTCAACCTAGTCAATGTCGCACAACAAACAAAAACTAAAACTGTTATCTTATCCTTAGATGCAGAAAAGGCATTTGACAAGGTCAATTGGCATTTCCTCCTCAATACATTACAAAGATTCTGGTTTGGAGAGTCGTTCATCCACTGGATACAGGCACTATACACTGCACCAAGAGCCACAGTAACCACAAATGGGATGACCTCACCACACTTCACACTGCACCAAGGAACCAGACAGGGATACCCACTCTCTCCTTCCCTCTTTGCCTTATTCATTGAACCCCTGGCTGTAGCAATAAGAAATAATTTAAATATATACGGAATCCATAATGGTGGTGCAAATTATAAAATTAGCCTGTATGCCGACGACTTCCTCTATACTTAGGAAAAACCACAATCATCCATAAAAGAAACTTCTCCTCCGTCTCTAACTACACAATAAACTGGACTAAATCCACAATACTCCCCCTAACTCCGCATTCATGGTATTCTGCAGCTCAAGACTCTCCACAACTCTGACAGCCTGGTGGAAAATGAACAAAATCACCAACTCCTCACTATCACCATGTAAAAACACCCCTATTTGGCACAACCCTGACTTTCAACTACACAATTCCCCCCATTCACTTCCCACTCTGGAAAACAATACATTCATGTCATTCACCGCAGTTATCCAGAGATACGGGGTGGGGAGAGAACAATTTCTTCAATACCAACAACTCAAGAATTTAATCAAAAGTAAAATCAGTCTAACACAAAACATGCTACACCCATCGACTAATCAAATTCTAAACATAACCAATACAAAAAGATTAATTTCAAAATAATAGTAACAATTCACAATCCACTAACACTGCCTTCTGTCAAATGGGAATAGGACCTGGACATCTCTCCCAACCCTGACTTCTGGAACCACATCTGTAGAAACTCCTTCATAACAACATACGATAATTTACAACTCATACAATATAGAACAGTGAGCAGTGAACAGTGACTACCAACTGAGCAGCGACAGTAGCTCAGTTGGTAGAGCATTGGCCTTAAGCCCAGAAGGTCGTGGGTTCAATTCCCACCTCTGCACCTTCTCCACCGACTCCCACTGATGACTACTGTCGTTGTGTCCTTGGGCAAGACACTTAACCCCACTTTGCCCAAAGCCCCCACTGAAAGATCAAGGCTATGCTCACACTCAGAGAGCAGCCGTCCTCCTGTGGACTCACCACCTGCAGAGGATCAGTGAGGGGCTGGTGCTATGAGACTTGGGTGGCATCTCTGACTGCCACCCCCCTGACCCAGAAATGGATTAAAGGGTAGAAAATGGATGGATGGA